TCCCCTTCATCGTCAATATTCCCCCTAATCAAAGGGTCTTGTGCTTGAGCATGCCTAGGCTTTGTGATCCTCATTACTTCGTCGTCCAGGTTCCTTGTAAGTACTTCTTCGTTTAAGCAGTCCACTTTGTTGACTTCTCAGTTAATTTTGATCCAACTCGAACACTGTCGTTTTGTTTCCCAATGTCCTTAGTGCAGCTACTTCTTTTGTCTTCTCTTGACATTCCTTATTGAAAGCATTGTCTTTGAAGGCTTGAATGTCGGCCATATGTTCTTGTTGCTGATAACTCATTAGAGTTCCTTGATTATCTTTTTGCCAATTACTGGCTCTTCCAGGGTCACTATGTTTGGCCTCATTTGATTGAACATTTCAGTAAATGTATCTACTGAAAATGGCTCTTCACTCTGTGCGACAATTTGAGTCTCTTCTCCATCTTGAACTACCCTGATAGGTCCATAATTTCCTTCATACACGAACCTTTTCTACTGAGTTTGCTTCTACGACAAAGGGTCTATGGTCTGCTTGCACCACTTCTGCTTCGCCCTTGTCATTCAAGAAAACTAGACATTGATGGAGTGATGAAGGTATGCAAATACTCCCGTGAATCCAGTCTCTTCCTAGTAGCACATTGTAACTAGTAGAACCATCTATCACAAAAAAAAAAAAACTGTGGTCCTAGTAGTTGTCCCCACGGTTATGTCCAATGGCATTACCCATTTAGTTGAAGTTGCTCCTCCATTAAAACTTGAGAGAATAACTTCTGTTGGGGTCTTATTACTTTCTGTCTTTGCAAATTTCTCTTGGGTGTCCCGTATAACACATAGTAGTCAAAAGAAAGCCTACATGGTCATCCTAACAAATCCACCTCGCGAACACCTTCCTGATATAGTTGCTTCAACAAGTATTGTGCGACACTTCTCTCTTTCTTCTCTCTGCTTCTAAATCAATTTTTTCTTCAATATCAATCATGTCATCATCCTTTTCTTCATCATATACTTCCTGGGACGTTCGACCTTCCTCACATTCCAGCACACACGCTACTTCCTCATTACCTTCCCTTTCCTCTTCTTCATTTTCTTTATTTTTGAATTCATTGCCTAGTAAATAATTATTAGCCATAACAGGAGGTAAGGTACCAAATTGGATGGTGAGGGGTTGCTCTGGATCTTCTTCATCTTATTTTCTTTACTTAAACTTTAATCTCAGAAGAACTTTCTGGTAACTCTTCCATTGATTCGCCCATACCGCCCTGTTTACTATCTTCAAGAACATTTTGGTTGGTCACCTCAAACAATTTAGGTGCCTTAGGACGTGGCAATTCCTGTTGTTGCCTAGTCATTCGTCCATAATTCTGTTGAAAACGCCTTTGTTGGGTTCTGGTCATTTCATTGAAAGGTACAACCCTTCCTGCATTATACTGGAATGAATGTCATACATTTGGTTGGCGAGGTTGCGACCTGAATGTCCTCCCACTGTTTATCGACCTAAACTGCCTCTCAAAAAGTGGTCCTCTATAGAAGATGCACCCCGTCCTCCATTAGGCTGGATATTTGGGACAATATCAGGGCCATGGTGATGTCGTCACATTCCTGGTCTTTCTATGTTTGCATTCAGTTCTCCCTTGCATCTCGCACACGGGATGCTTCCGTCCTCTCTAAACTCTTCCCTTTTATACGTTCAAAAACACTAGGATATGGCCCATAATCTTCTTCTCCGTCGTTTACAACCAATTTGAATCTTGACAACTTGTTTTTGAAACCAGTCATCACCATGTTCACTCCAAATGGCTGTGGGAAAGGATTTTCATCCACTGCCATTTTCTTCTTAGCCTCTAACGTGATTCGTCCTGACTCGATGGCATCCTTAACACATGATGAAAGATCAAGCAATTATTAGTCATATGTGACCATGCATTGTACCATTTACAATATTTTTTACCTTTAATTTATTCGGGGTCAGCAATTTATACTTGTCACTCAGTTTTATTTGCTTATCCATATACAGTTTGTCGAATATATAGTCAGCTTTGGTCACATCAAATTAGAATACCCTAGCCTTTTTGTTCTCGCCTTTTAGATGCTCATTCTTCCCCGACGTCCTGGATTTGGCCATTATGGGATAAGCATATGCTTCTCCCTTAATCAATTCGGCTAAACATATTTCCGTTTGATCATAATGCTCGTCACTAACAGTATGAACATTTAAATTTTGGTATCTATAATAAGTCCCCTTACGAGAATTTTTTATTTGTTCTTCTTCTCGTATCAATCGTTCATACCTAATCACATTAGCACTTAGTTGAAAAATGTTAGGAAATTCCCTATCCTAGAATTTCTTTTTTAAGTCAAAACTCAAAAAATTTTGAGCTATTTTGGCAAACTCTTTTTCGGGCAGAGGTACAAAACATTTGTTCTTAGCTGTTTTAAACCTCTGAAGGAAACTCTCCGCCCATTCATTTGACATTTGACGTAAATTCGCCAAGTCGACTAAAGTAACTTCAGATTTAGTTTGTAAAATTGAGCGTAGAACAATAGTTCTAGTGGTTCCTTATTGGTACAACTGGTTGACATATTTGCCCCACTAACTTATTCATGATTTCATTTAACATATTTAGTTGTTTGGTCATGTTGTCATAATGTGCATTCCCATTTTGAGTAAATCTTTCCATATTATGAACATTTCATAGATTTACCTATTCAACGACGTCTTGTGTGAGTTCCCCAAGCAATGCACACATGGTTCGAGGACTCAATTATGTCATGGCTCGTAACGACTGTGACTACTTTGACTCTGCCCCTCTGTTCGTGGATTGCTTTGCTGCTCCTCATATCATTCGATCACAGACTGGACTACTCCTTGGCTTGCTAGTTTTTTATCAGAATTCTTATGAGGCATATTGCTTCAGTTTTCATATCCTCAAACACCAATGTCCCACCGGCATGCCAAATTGTTTCCTACAGATTATCGAGCCTTGCTAACAATTAAAAGATGGTTCAGACGATTGTGTAAAGAACAAACCTCTCGAGATAAAGTTCCAACGAGTGGTGCTTTATTTATGAAGATTATAATTAGGAAGAAGTAAAATACCTCCAAGGAGCACAAGCACACAAAGTACTAGAAGGAAATAACTGAAACTTAATCTGAGGAATGAAATTATATAATTCTCTATTTTAGAGTGATTGATTCGGGTCCTTTCTTCTATGTTTTCCCTTCTCTTTTATACTCATTTGACAGTTTTTCTTGTAGAACCGTTTGAAACCGCTCATCGTCCTATAACTACCCATTTTCTTCATAATGACCTACTTGTCAAAGAACTGCTGCTTGTAACTGTTGCCATTACTCTCCCCATTTAACTGCTTGCAGCCGAGATTCTTGGATCGTGGAGTATGATAAGATTGCTCAATAACTGCTGTAATAATCGCCACTTTAAATAATAAGGCGTTATGTTCGCTTAGATCTTGGGCGAGTCAAAGGCTTGGGAGCCGACTCGGCCCATTGCCACCACTACACTAAGGTTACAGCCTCAGTATATGTGTCGTTAATATGATATTAAATGATAGGTGAAATAAATAAGTCATTTAATTTCACCTTTCATTTAGAGCTACCTAGACTGAGGTTGTAACCCCAGTGGGGCTACATATCATTACTCAATCCGAATTATGTAACACAAAAGAGATTATGATTTCTAATTATTCTAAAATTATGTAAAAAGTGTTTGTTTGTATTAATGTAATTGGCTTTCAACTTCTTGCCAGGTTGAACTTTTCTTTCAAAAGATGTAATTTCACCTCTTGTTCTTGATTAATTTTAGGATATAGATGTGCATTAAGAAGCTAAATAGATATCCCTTGAACGGTTGCCTGTGTTCTGTATTTATAGGTGTTGAAATTTACGTCAAAATCGCGTTCAAATTTGGTTCTGAAAAAAATTTAATCAAAAAAGAAAAACTGGTTCGTCGAATGAAATTTTGGCATGCGTGCACACGTCCGCATTGTTATTGCCTCAGCTCTTGATTTTGAAAAAGGGGTGGCTTGCCCTCGCGAGAGGAAAAGTTAATTTGCACAGTTTCCAATATTTTTTTATCATATTTCTTTTTCGATATCTGATTGATGTGATTTAAAGTGGGTTGCAAATCTAATTCAAAGGAATACAATTATTCTAGAAGTATTATTTTTTCAATTCGAACGCTTTTTCATGGAAAAACGAGTCTCAATCTGAGGCTGAAAATTTGAAAATTTTGTGCTACTGAAAATTAATTATGAAAATACTTTAACTATGTTTTACTCATTTGACTTCTAATTCCATCCAATTGATCTATGCAATCTTCAATCATCGTTTTATAGTCTGAATCAACTATTGAATATTTGTATCTTGGTCTCCCGAACTTTAAATTTCCTCTATTTTTGTCCTTTTTTCGCTCATTTTATGTAATTCCTTCAATTTGCATCGAAATTTATCTAACAAATGAAATATATACATAACTAAACCACAATTCGTCAAAATCCACAAAAAAAAAAAAAATCATTTATTGACCCAAATAACTGTCGTAACTTTGTTACATCTTAAAGAAGGGATTAAAAATAAAAGCTTTGGTAACACACATGTGCCCCCCGCTTCTTCTCCATCTCCCATTATAAAAGAATATGGTTTAGTGTAAATGGATTCAATCTTAAGATTATGGTGCTATTAGTGTCCAAATAGGGGGGATAAGCCCCTTAATGATTCAGGGTTTAATATTTTTGTATTATTATTATTTGCCCCAATTATCACTTAGAATATTCAAAAATGATAGTCATTTGTGATTTTGCCCACAATTTTTGTATTTTTATTTTTTGTTTTCACCTATTATAAATTGTAAGCTAATTTGTCCCGTTTTACTTGGGAAAACACGTATTAACTCTTTATTATAATTATCAAATCATTACAATAAATTAATGATTGTCTTTGCTTTTATAATCATTTAGGAAGTTTTGTCAAATTAAAATCTATAGATTAGTCAGATGTGGGACTCCTGGGTTTTTGTTGTTTTTTGCAAGATTGCAAAGTATTTACGACATATCATAATTGCTTAAAAAGTGAGAGAATTTTAAATTTGTGTCCCCCATGCAAGATTTTTTTTAGTTATACTATTTGAAAAAAAAAATAATTATTGGTTGACATATATTTATTGATGCGTGAAAATTGGTACCATTCAAAAGATTAACCTTCACTATGTCTACATTTTGAAATAAATAAACAACATATAAGTGTTATGTTTACTCCTTTTAATAAATCTGACCTTTTAGAGTGGAACTCAAATCCTAATAATTGAAAATGTTTCAAATTTACACACAAAATTTCATCTTCTTCTAGGAATCTTATTTGTGTCATCCTCCATTTATGTTATCGTTATATCATAACCTATAAGATGTCCCTACGATGCAATAGCTAAATCAAATACATAACGTAATAAGAAAACTATGGCACGTGTGAAAATTTATTAATTGCATAACATTGTTATATATTAAAGATGTTAAAAATGAAAATTTTGAGAGGATAGTAACACGCATCGAAAAAATTAAAGCCCATTACTAAACAGAAGGTTTTGAAAAGGATAAGGGGGTACTTACAAAAATACCCTTAAAATTATGGGTGTTTTGAAAAATCATGTGAAAGGTTTTTAGGAAGTAAAAAATACTGTGTAAAATGAAAAAAGTGACACAATGTCACTTTTTTATAAAAATTGTCACTTTTTTACTGTTTAAAAAAAGTGACGTAAACTCAAAAAAAGTGACATAATTCAAAAAAAGTGACACACGCTCAAAAAAGTGACAAATACTTAAAAAAGTGACAAAACACTAATCAAAACTTATGTTTGTTATTAAAAAAAGTGATAGAAATTTTTAAAAATTAACAAACAATAAAAAATAAAATAAAAATCAGAAAAGTGGAGAAAAAAAGTGACACATTCGAGAATCATCATGCCTAATATGGAGTTATTGACACCTTAATCACCATATTGAAATTCTGTAGTGTTCCAACAACAAATCATATCATGAGCCAATGTTATTTGCAAATAAACATTGCAATTATGCTAACGCTGCAATGTCACTTTTTTTATAAAAATTGTCACTTTTTTTTTAAAAAGTTACACAAACTCAAAAAAAGTGACACACACACACACACACACACACTCAAAAAGTGATATAAACTCAAAAAAGTGACAAATACTTAAAAATGTAACAAAACACCAATCAAAACACATGTTTGTTATTAAAAAAAATGGGAAATTTTTAAAAAGTAACAAACAATAAAAAGTGAAAAAAATTCAGAAAAGTTGCAGGAAAAAAGTTACAAACACACAAAAAAGTGATAAAATTGTCACTTTTTTTTAAAAAAGTGACACAATGTCACTTTTAAAAGTTTTATGTCATCTTTTTATTAAATACATACAATTTATCTTTTATTAAAAATGATGTTTGTTACTAAAAAAATGATAGAAATTTTAAGAAGGCGACTGAAAAAAGTGACAAATACTAAAAATGTGACAAACATTAAAAAAAGTGACACCGGTCTTGTATTGAGGACGGGTTGCACCGGTCTTGTAACTCTATATATGCAATTGTTTACTTGAGCAAAAGTATAATCGAAATGTCAAGATTAAAGAACAATCTATATGAATATTAGGTCACTCTAATATGATATACAAACGATTTTTGGAGATTGTTTTAAAAATAGGTAGAACCTAATATTGCTCGGTTTCAAATAAGCAACGGTCGAAGCAGACGCAGAATTCAAGAAACGAAGTTCGTTAATTTCCCTCTCAAAGCTCTCACACACACAGTTCAACAAAATATATATTCAGAATTGCAGAATCTGTATTTTGTTTATCAAAGTTTGCCAAGAAATTCTGATGGCAAATTCCTCAGTTCTCTGCCTAATCCTCCTGGTGACAATTATGAGCGTCACCACCGGCGTCAACCTCGTTTCCGCCGCAAACTCCCTCCACCATCACCATTTCCATCTTCAATCCCACTACCCAACCAACGTTTTCCACCCACCACTTCTCTGCCACCATCTCCCCCGCCGCCGATGCAACTGGAGGGGATTCCAAAACAACAGTTGAACAACATAATCGACGCCCTGATAGGTGCCGGAGACTTTGCAGGATGGATCAATTTCCTCTCCTCCACCAACCCATCATCTCTGTCATTCACCGCCACGTTCTTCGTTCCGAGCAACGACGCCATCTCTCAGTTCCCAACCGCCACCGCCGCCGGAACGATCTTCGACCCCTTTATTGTACCTTACCATATAGTCCCACAGCGCCTCTCTTTCTCCGATCTTCAACAGTTTTCCACCCTCACGCACCTCCCCACTCTCTACCCTTCAAAGTACATTGTCATCACCAACAATTCTCGATTCAATTTCACCGTCGATGACTCTCTAGTCACCCACCCAGATATTCTTGTGAATGCTGCTTTTTCAGTTCATGGAATCAAAAATGTTCTTGATTACAATGTCTATGGTGGCAACAGAGTTCATAAACTGGAAGATATTGAGGACGACGCAAAAAAGAGGAAGTTGTATTCAGTGGGCTGGGAGATTTGGGAGTTTTGGGGATTTGTTTTAGTTTAGGACGTAATTAATACGGTGATTTATGTGATGTTTAATTAATTTAGAGTATTAATCTAACTGGGTCAATTTTTAGAGTATTATGCCTAATTTTCCCTTGTGCAAATGGAACCAACCTTGCAATTATAGTGCTATTAGTATCCAAATTGGGGAACTAAGCCCCTTACTGTCAAGGGTTTATTATTATTATTATTATTATTATTATTATTATTATTATTATTATTATTATTATTATTATTATTATTTGCCGCAATTATCATTTAGATTATATAAAAATGATTGGCTTTTGTGATATTAAAATCAATAAAAAGTTAGATGTGGGACTCAAATTTTTCATTTACTAACATCTTTAATAGTAAAGGGTTGTTATATAGTGAAATCTATAAAAAAATTTTATAGTAAATTTTTCACCCGTGCCATAACAATTTTTCACTAACATGTTTATAGTAAATTTATTAATGCACTTATATAACATAAGGTTCTATTTGGTACACATTATTATTTTCATTCTCATTCTTCTACTCATTTTCAACCAAACATTCTTCAATAAAATAATATTTTTCATCACATCAATAACTTTTTCTTCATTTTAACTACAAATTCTCCATCAATCTATTATTCAATAATACATTCTTTCAAAAGAATGTGTACCAAACACACAATAATAATTTTTTTATAAATTTCACTTAAAAATCTTTTTGTTGTTTCTTGCAGGACTACAAAGATTACCCTTCTTTATGTCCACAGTTCCAAATTATTTGCAATGCAGTAGGGCTATCTTTAATAGTAAATAAGATATAAATTCAAAGTGTCGGTAAATTGCATATAGAATAACTTGAAATAAATAAATAACATATAAGGGTTAGGACTACTACTGGGTCAATAATTTAAGATGGAACTTAAATTACCTACAATGCAATAACCATGGGAGATATATGGTGAGACTAGATTGTGTTGGGACCGTTTGATCCCACGTGTTGTGAAAAATCGAAAGAGATTAATGGAGAAATATGAAGTATTGATCGCTCATCAAACAAAAACAAGATTTAAAGTAATGAAAAGAAAAGTTGGTAGATGAACCGATATTTTATTGAACAATCAATGGAGAGAAAATACATTTTCTGCTCTCAAAAACTGAATGAAGAGTCTATTATTTATAGGACAGATGTCCAAACCCAAGATGGAAACAAGATAAAACAAATCAAGTGAAATAAAGGAAACAATATTTTCAAAATATTTTTCCAATAAAACACGTGAAATAAAGGAAATAATATTTTTCAAATACGTGCAAAGAAAGAAAAATATATTTCAAAAAATTCCAACATAATTTGGGTCATAAAATCCAACAATCTCCACCTTGACACAAATTTCGGTTCAATTAATTAAACTCCAAGATTTCTTCTCCCAGAAAATAAGTCTAACTGCTTCAAAATAAACCAATCTCTTCATTCAATACCAAAACTCTCCACCTCACAAAAAAAATCACCTCGCCAGTGTCCACAAGTGACACTCGAACGCAACCCCAGGTTCCCAAAATTTCAACAAAGAATTCAACAAATACCAAACAGGATCAAAGCATACCCCGTAGCCGAATCCATACCAAATGCTTGAACTGAAGGCCCCTTGCTAGAACTGCCACCTTCAAATACCCAGAAAGAATGATCACACATATCTAAAACTCGGTACCTATGCTCCATGAGTCCTCAAGCCCAACACGAAAGGTACTGTACCGAACTGGATCTTTTCCACGGCATTAAACCTGTCCAGATGTCTCTTTATTGGTTCTGGGCACCTCTGCAGGATATACAATTGATAACTCTTCTGTCCTTCCATCACAACACAGTGACCTCTTTGGACTTTCAAGACTCCACCTCCACCAGAGAATGTGTACCCATTAGAATCTAGAGTACTCAGTGAGACGAGATTCTTCCTTAAGTCTGGAACATGTCGAACCTGGCCAAGAACTCGAACTGTCCAATCAAATAACCTCAATCCGACCCGACCGATTCCAACAATCCTACAAGATTGGTTGTTTCCCATGACAACTCCACCTTGCTTCACCGTTTCAAACCAGACTCTATTGGGACGCATATGAAACAAACACACTGAATCAAGAAACCCCTCCTCATCCAGCTTAGATTCCTTGTCGCCATTCGAAAATCTCTCGACAATATTAGTCTCATCCGAATGATCAGATTGCCTCCCATGATTTGCAGATAAATTACCTTTACCATGCAACTTGTTGCAATCCTTTTTGATGTGTCCTTTTCTAGTGTAGTAGAAGCAAACCTGACTGTTGAAGTTCACAATTGACCAGCCCTTCCATTGATCACCGCATGAAATCGGAGCTTCCTTATCCTTAACTCCAACGATATGCTACATCTCCTCCTTTGAAAATAAAGCATCATAAGCATCGTCAATGGTGAGTATGTCACGACTGTACAAGATCGTATCCCTGAACGACGAATACGAAGCGGGCAGTGAGCACAACAGGATCAAGGCCAGATCCTCTTCATCATACTTGACTTCTAATGTTTCCAAATCAGCGATGATTTCCTTGAACACGGTCAGATGGTTCTCCAAAGAACTCCCTTCTGCCATACGATGAGAATAAAGCCTCTACGTCATATGTAACTTACTCGTCAATGTCTTCGTCATGCACAGTTGCTCCAGTTTTAACCACAATGCAACAGCTGATTTCTTCTTAACCACGTCCTGAAGAATGTTGTTAGAAAGATGAAGTTGAATCATAGACAGCCTTCCAATCCTTCCGTTGCTTCTCTTCTATTGTCCAAGTTGTTGGCATTTTATCAAAACTCGACAGAGTATCGTCCAAATCCATTTGCGCCAGAATTGATTTCATCTTTACTTGCCACAGAGCAAAATCTTGTATTGCGATCTAAAAGCGGAATGTCATACTTCATGGCAACCATCGAAACTAGAAATCTCAAATAAATTCAACTTGTATCTTTGATACCACTTGTTGGAACCCTTTGAACCCACGTGTTCTGAAAAATCGGAAAAGATTAATGGAGCAATATGAAGTATTGATCATTCACCAAACAAGAATAAGATTTAAAGTAAAGAAAAGAAAAATTGGCAGAGGAACCGATATTTTATTAAACAACCAGTGGAGAGAAAATACAATTTCAGCAATTTCTGCTCTCAAAAATTGCATGAAAAGTCTACTATTTATGGGGAAGATGTCCAACTCAAGATGGAAGCAAGATAAAAACAAATCACGTGAAATAAAGGAAACAATATTTTTCCAATATTTTTCCAATAAAGAAATAAAGGAAATAATATTTTTCCAAATACGTGTAAAGAAGGAAAAATATATTCCCAAAAATTACAACCTAATTTGGGTCACAAAATCCAACACCTTGCATAAATAACACAATATTATGTAAACAATCAACAACTTGTGTCAAATATAATACTTACAAAAGTTCATCACTCCTTGTCAATTACGTAAAACTATTGAGACCAATGGGAGAAATTGGTTGTGGCGCTACAAGATGAACTTAATACATTAAATGTTTAAATTAAAAATTAATTGCAATGAAAAAAACTGTTTAACAGAAAATATATGTTATTAACAAAAAGCAAATATATAATCTTCGAGATTCATGAATCGAGGCAAGTGTAATAAATACCTTATCTAATTAAACTAGTCAACACTTAAAATTGAGGTCAAATATGTCATGCTAGGAAAAGAAAAAGAATTGAAAGCAAACAAAATTGAAGTCAGGCGGTGACTTAATGTAATAATCCAATTATATAACCAAATCTATTTCATGTAATTCATAAGATCTACACAACACATACAGATAGAGAAGCCAAGAATGGAGAGAAAGAAAAGAGGAAAGAAAGAAGGGAAAAAATATGGAGGAGGCGGAGGAAGAAGAAGAATAAGAAGAAGAAGAAAAAGAAGAAGAGGAAAATAGGAAAGTTCGGCAATGGGGTTGGAAAATAAGTGCATTCTCTTATTAAGTTTGAATTCCTCAATTTCGACGGGTAAGTGAAAAGTCACTTATTCAAAAGTTAATGTTAAATTTTAGAGTTGTTAGATTATTAGTTTAAATTCAATTTTATTGAAAGGGAACTATTGAATTATGTCGAATAAGTTATGAAATTAAGTTAAAGGAAAGAAAAGAACATCTTAAGTGATTAAAAGAAATGAGAAAATTGCTCAAGTACAAAAAGATTAAGATTTATTATCGCCTATTTAATTATTGGAGTTACTTAAAATGGTTAATTGTTAATATAAACATTATATCACATTTCAGGCGGCGATGTGGATATCGGGACAACTTATCAGCGAAACTAATCGCTTGTCAGTGGAAAAACTTAAATATTTTTCAAGTATTGATAAATTAATTATACTATTATACATTTTATGCAATTATGTGAATTATTTGTCCAATTATATGATTAATGTGGAAATATTTTTTTTCCTTATGATATATGTTGAATTTTAAAGATTGTATATGAATTATTTGTGAATTGGAATCACTACACCAAAAAACACCATTTGCAACACATAAAAGGCAACATTTGGTAGTTAAATGTTGCAAAAGGGATCTATCGCAACATTCTAATATGTGAATGTTGCCATTACTTAACAAAATTAAGTTTTGACAACATTTTTTAAGTGAATGTTGTTAATATTAACGTTGCGAAATTTTTTATTTTTTGCAGCATTTTTTAAACGTTGCGGAAGACAAAGCTTTTCGCAGCGTTTAAAAAACGTTGCGAAAGACATTTTTCACAATTTTTTTATTTTTTTGATCTTTTCACAACGTTTTTTAAAAAATGTTTTAAAAAACGTTGCAAAAAAATCCACATTCCCTTTAAATCAAATTAATTAGCCCTAAATTTTCCTCCTCTTCCTCCTCTCCTTTTTTCCTCTCGTCGTCATCGGACATCTCACAAGCTGCTCGAATAGCGTAATATCCAGTAGATATTGTAGTGGATTATTGCGATGACTCAGGGTCGTCTGG